TATGTTTGTTAACAAACATACAAACAAACTAAAAAAGATAAGAACATTGATGCCAAACCAATATACATCCTGAATTTTGCGTGTGAAATCTACGTCTTTTAATGTCAAAACTACGTATTGTGGTCTTTCTTTTACGTATTGCGTTATGACGTTTTGTGAAAAATCTGTACGTGATGGAGAAAAATGGATATTTTCGGATTCAGTGTACAGAAATTACTGTTTGAACATGTAAACATTTCAAGACAATAAAACCATCGTAGGCCTATGTTATAGGTGTTAAGTGAACCATCGTAGGCCTATGTTATAGGTGTTAAGTGAACCATCGTAGGCTTATGTTATAGGTGTTAAGTGAAAGTTCATAATAACATTTGAAATGTCTTCACGTATACATAGTCTATTATTTTATTCTTTAACAATTTGATTTCCACTAGAGTCTTCAATAAAAGTTCATTGCTCAAGAATAGTAAATAATAATAGTAAATCTATGTTATAATTCAGCCATTTTCCCTATTTAACATAAGAAAATAAAAACAATAACGTTTTCAGTTCTTTAAGTTGGTACCGAAAACATATTTGAACTTATTTGCAGAAACTTTATTTTAATAATTTTTTGCAACCACTTTTTCCTATCTTTTTTTAAGCGAAACAAATAATTTTATGAAGTTGGAAATTTACAGTTTATCTACTTATGAACTGAAACTAACGTAACAGTGACTTTAAATGTGTCATCAGATCAACAGAAGTAGATACAAAATATCGTAAGTAACATTAATAATTTTCATTACTTCTCACAGGATTTGGATTCTTTCGCCTAGTATATACAATATAATAATATCATTACGTTATTTTATCGTCATCTCTGAAAGTTGCAACAATTATCACAATCCAGTTTTTTATTTAGCTTATATTGTAAAGGCCGCCAAATTATAACGAAGAGTTTTAAGCTTAACTTGGTTTGTTATTAGCTGAATCAGTAATTTTCATACAGAAGAAACACTGGTAGAATATCATTATATTATTATATTGCTTATGTAATATCATTCATATGTTTATGACACAACCATACACAATATTAACTTATTGCTAGTTTAAATAACCTCGAGTAAGAACAATGAAGAATATGTATAATTAACTGAATTGATGTAGACCACTGCCAAAAACTGAAAATTTGCATTTAACCTCATTATATTTTGATACTTTAAAGAGTACTGGAATGAGCTTATAAGATTTTTTTTTTTAATGTGAATAATGTTACCTCAAGACTAAATTGAAATAACATTCAAATATTATAGCTTAAAGAATCGTGGATAATCAAGAAAGTTTTTGTCGATATTGGCTGTAAACTAATAAGTTTTAGAGGACAGGCGAATATATAAAGTACTTAATATCATACGATATCAATAATGCTATTAAAATTGCAGTTATGTATCTACGTAAGCATCACACATTTACCTACTAATACATATATTTCACAGTAATATTTGTCTCTGCGTTTTTAAGGTTTACGACTTTACCTCCTTTTCAAATCTTAGTAACGAGTTATGTTGATTAATATGAAGTACACATGTGTAAAACTTAAAAACCTCAAGTGAAAGGATTATTATTTGCACTTAATTTCATAATTATTTCAATATATTATTTTGTACCATGTGAGGGAAATATAATACACTTTCTTGTACGTTAGATATTTCTAGATACCTATTTAATTTTCTATGCTCATTTTTAGATCAGTCGTCTCAAAAGCTGAATCAAAAATAGAAAGACCGCATGGTTTCGTAATAGAAAGTACGATAAATACGAGCGTGTTCAGTGAACTCTTTAAAGCAGATGTACTAACATTTGTAATAAACATCAATCACATGTATGACCATTTTATAGTTGTATGACATCTGAGTTTTTAATGTTATTATGATGTGAGACTATGACTATATACGTACCTCCGTCAGTCTTACACAGGAATGTCAAATTTTGTCCCTCATTGTATGGTCCCACAAGACTCTCCAGCATTTTTCCATTTACATCAGTCACTATTGGTTTGTTTGGAGGAACTACAAACAAAACACGTGTAACATAATTGTTACTACAAACCAACAAATTTGTTTTTTTAACAAATGTTTATATATACATATATATGTGTGTGTTTAATGACTACTTTTTCTTCACAACAGATGTCTGCTTGATTTTTGTGAATAAATTTTGGTAAATGTATTTTGGTTGTTCTTAAGTTACGATGCTTAGAAATTTCCAAATGATTATGTAGTATATAAGACTGGAACAAACTTCAACTCTTACTCCTGAAGATGATGGCGGAAGAACATCGACACATGTAGAGTCATTTTAGGGGTGATTCCTGATTTAATAAATTATTTATTGTGTAATTATTTTAGCGTTGTATTCCTTTTAACTGTATATATATCTATATATATGTGTGTATGATAAGTATGCATTCGTTAATATTAATTCATAACACGTTAAACACTTGCGAATTACAAGGTAAACCTAAAAATAAATCATTTTAAGCTTTGGAATAAAAGATAATCCTATGTAAAATAAAATGCAGTCAATAAAATGTTAGAAAACATAAATGTTTCCCTAAACGAAAAGGCATAAAGACAAATAGTGCTGTATTTCAAGCAACATCGCTTTTTGCGCAACTTTCTAGTGTTATATATAATTTACACTTATTACATAGCGCTTATCTTTAAAACTGGTATACACATTATACATGGTATATAAGTTCCTGCTACACTACTTTCAAACATAATAGCCCTAGTAGTGATTGAAAACCCCACAGCGAATGCAATAATACATTTTAAGCGCATCTACACGTGTAACAAGAATTCTGTAAGATTAGAGAGATTTTGGGTACTGAAAGTCAATATAACCCATCCTGTATTTAGTTACTGAATTGAATTTTATTTCTATTTGTAATACAATAACATTACCAAAGTTTATCTTACTCTAATGGAAGGTAGTGTGTTTTGTTAAATGCTATACTGTTTAATACAAACTATAATAAACAATGTTTAAATGAAGCACAGCTATAAGTTGGTAAAACTATGTATTTTGTACTAATATCTGTAAGGAAATTTTATACAAGCAATCATTACAATATACACGCGGAACTTTTGTGTTAAACTGTAGAAACAGGAACCAATAGTCATTGCAAACAGTCGTAATGATTGCATGTTTGACTGTACAATTTCCAGTAATGTATTTTTTCCAATGCAATAGTTTCTTTTCGGTTTTGTATGTTACGTTTATTGTACTGGTGTGTTTGTTTGCGTATATTAAAGTATTGGATCACATTTCAACCTTTATGACATTAATTATTAGTGTAGTACATGTATCCCTGAGGACGGAAGTGAAGCTCTGACGTGAGATAAACTAAAAAATTTCGAAATTATTGAATTTGTCGAAAGATAAAGTGGCGAAAACAGAAATGGCTGCAGAATGTATGCATAGTTAAGTTTCAAGTAATTTATCACGACTGCCTATTTTCTCCCTTCAACAAATTATGGGAATTACGCGTTAGTTAATTTGATAACTTTTTACAGAAAAAGTCAGACGCTAAAAATTATTTTCTCTACTCTATTTTCACATATTTTACGATAAAAATTCAAAATAATATATTTTTTTAAATTATTTTATATCAAATATTTGTTACATGGGGATACATTTATTGTCTTTTAGCTTTACTTTACTAATGAATAAACTTCCACCTTTCGAAAGCGTTCGAGTTATAAGTTTTTTGTTGTTTTTTTCTATTAAATGAATTCGAAAAATACTCGATCAATTAATTATGATCAGAAGTATTAAATTTAAATGGTATCCCTCAATGGTACAGCGATATGTCTGCGGACTTACAAAGTTAGCAACCAGGTTTCAATACCCGTAATGAGCAGAGCACAGATAGCCCATTGTATAGCTTTCTGTTAATTACGAACACACCTTTATATAGTAAAAATACGACAAATACTTATGAATGGCACAACTGAGTTCCAACTTGTGGAATGAGTTTACTTTAGTATTTTAATTTCTAAAGCACCTCACCTCATATTTTTGTTTAACCTTCTAAAGATTTAGATTATGAAAGCCTGTATTATCCCATAAGAAAAAAAATATTATCACCTACTGTTCACTTGTATTCTTGCGCCCATAATAGGATTCTGAAGCATTTACACATGCTGTATATAAATCTACATTGATATCTGTTTTATTTTGTAGGGCTAGCTGTCCCTAATACAGCACCCATCGCCAGCAAACTGGGAATTTAATATCACTCTCATAACTCACCTACAGCACAAAGCTACACAATGGTTTATCTGTGCTCTGCCCACCACGGGTATCGAAACCCGGTTACTAGCGTAGTAAGTCCGCAGACATACCGCTGTGCCACTGGGGGGCTTTTTATAACAGCTACATTCTCCTTAGGCCATCAATGCCAAATACCTTACTAGCATCAGCAAACAACTACTTTTTTACCACGCGTTCATATATGTCATTGATGTAAATTTAAAAGAGCAATTGTCCTAACACTGGGTCCTGAGGTATCTCACCTGTAACATTAACCCAGTTTGATTGAACTTCATTGATAGCAACACCCTGCTTTCTTCCAACCAAATAATCCTTCACATCTATAGAGATAATTTAACATGCCTTTTATGCAACACCTTATCAAATGCTTTCTGAAAAAACTAGATGTACCAAATAAACATCCTTACCATCATCTACATAAGCAGTAACCTCTTCAAAAAATGTGAAAAAATTAGTAATGCAAGATATTCTACTAGAGTAACTATGTTGAATATGCAAAAAAAATTTTAATTTTGTTAAATGACTTTGCAAAGAAGCTTTTATCAAACTTCAAAACTTTTTCCAATACTGAATAACTCTAATAGGCAATTGTTATCACTTTCCTACCTTTGGAAGGAAAACCTTCAAACTTCAGGCACCTGCCTGCTATTTAAGGACTTTCAAAAATACTAGAACCTGTCTCACATATTCAATCCTTAACCTCATTCAAAACCCTTGGGAAAGTATTATATGTGTCATAGACCTGTTATTCCTTTTTTTTAATGAGCTTATTATTTATTTAGCAATGTTCTTTCATACTGTTTTGATCTAGCATCTGTTCAGGATAGAGAATATTGCTTAAATATTTATTATTAGAAATAGAAGAAAAGTATTATTGCATAACCTAGCCATCTCATAATTACCAGAAATGAGCCTAACTTATCTATGGCCCTGCTCCCATCTTAATAGCATGCTTACCCATATTGCATTTAAAGAAATCCGTACTGTTAATTTTCATTTTTTCAACCAACCTTTTTTCATATACCCGTTTCGATTTCCTAATCTCCTGTCTCACCAACTCATTGTTTTCTACAGTCATATAAGTATTCCAATATACAGTCTTGGCCAAAACGTTTGTATACTGTTCTATATTGATGTGATTGTCTACATGTATGAAGTAGTTATTGAGTAAATGCCCGTGTAGTAACAGAGAAGGAGAGAATGATTGGACAAACATGTATGAGTTCTTATTTTGATCTGTATAAGTTGTTTTGAGCATTTGTTGTCAAAACACACATACGCACTAGTTTTTTATAAAATAGTGTATTTTTAGTATATTATTTTTCAAAATGCTTTGCTAAGACAATTTCACCGTACGTGGTGTAGAAACATGCCTCGTTACATGCTAGAAGTTATAGGGCATCAAATAGTTTGACTGTCCTGAAATGGTATGAAGCAAACAGACATTGCCAGAACAGTATGGTACCCTATGTGTAATATAACCAGAGTTCTGAAACATCATCGGACTACAGGAAACGTTGTTCCAGGAAAGTATACTGGTAGACTCCAAAAACCTAGTGCCCGAGATGGAGATGTGTTTTGATCAGGTTAACACTTCAAAGTGTAAAGAAGTTTTGCAACACCTTACAACAGGAATGACATTAATACATTTATTCCAGGGCATCCAGAAGAACAGTGAATAGGAGACTGACCAAACAAGGTTATTTTGGAAGGTGAGCTATCTGTAAGGTAGTATAAGGCAGAATTCACTGCCATCACCATGTTACAGTTAGGATATTGGTGACATGTTATTTTTCCAGATGATTCCTGTTTCCGGCTTGTTAAAGCCGGTAGTAAGATTCGTGTTCGTCGTTTGCCTGGAGAACAGATGAAGAAAGACTGTCTTTCTCAAAGAGAACGCACAGGAGGTGGTGCAGTACATGTTTAGGTAGCTGTTAATCATGGTGGAAAAACTGCTCTTCATATCCTCCAGTGAAACGTCAAAGGGTCCTCCAACAGGCTTCACATGGAGATGATATTTCTACCATATGCTAGGCAAGGTTTAGCCGTAACTTTGTGTTACAGGATGACAATGCCACTACCTACAGTGTGCACATTTTACAAGATTATCTCGACCATGAGGATGTTACAAGATTGCCATGGCTAGCGAATCCTCAAGATTGTAATTAAGAACTGTTGGGCAGAACTGAGTCGGAAAATTGCTTACCATGATCCTAAAGAAGGTACTGTTGGGATGTAATCATGATGTATTAGGTCAATAACTTCATTGACAGCATGCCATGTCGCCTTGTGGAGATTATTGGAAGACCAACCAACTACTGAATGTTTATATGAACTGATATAAGATTGCAGATGCTATTTATAATAATTTATGTTATATTATGTTATTATATATGTTTGGTAAAGTTTTGTTGTGATAGGTGAAATATTGAATTGTACATCTTTCTACAGTTTGATGTTCTAATAAATCTTTCATGATATCCACAAATCCTGCCTCATTATAGAAATTATATAAGTAGGTGTTTCACATAACATGCATTTCTAATACTGATAGCGCTAAGTGTATTTGTATTCCATCTTAATAATAAGGATCTTACATTTTGGCCAACATTGTATGATTCTTTTCTTTAAATGTCTTTATCAACACTCTACTTATAAATTACCTCCTCTGATCTCCTCTTCCCTACATTAGTAGTTCATATTAGTACAACAAAGACTAGATAATAGTTATCACACTTTACTATATGACTTACTGTATCAGTTATGTCCTCTACATCTGCCCCTGGATAACATAATTGAATACTTTTCTCAATATTTAAGTTACAGATTAACCTATGCACGTATCATACTAGAGAATCAGCCCCTTAATCTGTTCATTTTCATCATTATCTGTCCTTACTTTTTCCAATGTCATTTTTGTGGAATGGATTTCTTCTATTTCTTAGGACCAATTGATCCATTTTCAAGATAAACAATTGAGTGGTTGAATGCTAATCCCTTATGACTAGCATAATAAATTATAATCCTGTACCGTCAGCTTGGGAAAAAGACTCAAAAATGGTTCATACTGCAGTATAACACAAACTGATTTTACATAAAATGTTAAAAAGCAGGAGCTCAAGATAGTTCATAGGTATATTATAATACAAAACACATTTTACACAAAATATGAAAGAGCAGGACCTAAAGATAGCTCATGGGAACCATAGAATACAAAATAGAATATCCCAAAGTATTAATGTTTAGCATCTAAAAATTGTTTATGGGTATAACACAGAACACCTTTTAAATAATATCACTTCGTAACCATATTTGTGAACTGTATTTAGAGTTACAACTAAAAGCGTAAATGAGAATGTTCACGCTGTGACTTAATATACGACTCAATATATGTGAACGATTGTTAAAATGCATAATATTTATGCAGAATTATCAAAAAAAATGTTTCGACACTTAGTGTTGATATAAAAATATTGGTGTGTTTTCTCAGAAAAAAAATCTACATACGTATAAATAATGCCAAGGTATTAGCCTTTTGGTTCCAGGGCTGTCATGATTCTTGGTACATACTTAGTATACCACCTATCAAGACGTCGAACCAGTATTCTATAAACCTCAGTTTTTAAGTAAATTCATTAATATGTATGTGAAACATTTCCCAGAAGACAATGTCAGTCACCATAAAAATAAGTTCCCTCTTCAACAGGCACACGCCTATTTCCTACAACAGTGGCTGTTGTCAAAATCTCAAAGTAATATAAACATCTTAAAAATAGCCCAGAAATCCAAAAGCATTTTGTGCATTGCAAACACTTCAACCCCGAGTGATTAAAGTTTATTGTTCTTCTGTGATTCATAAGCTGATATATTCCGCTAAATAAATTGTAATAAGTATCAAAGAGTAAACTTATATCTGCCATAATAGTAATAACGAAAGCATAAGATGACTTAGTTAAGGAATATCTTTTAGCTGACCATCACTCTCAAGTGTTCACTTAATGCATGTTTATACAAAAATATTTGATTTAGTTTGCCTTGAACTTCCTGCAAAGCTACTCCAGGGCTATTCTGCACTACTCGCCCATAATTTAGCAGTGATAGACTAGAGGGAAAGCAGCTAGTCAAAGCACCCACCGCTAACTCTTGGACTACTCTTTTTATAACAAATAGAGGGATTGAGCCACGGCTGAAAGGGTGAGCATGTTCGATGACGGGGATTCGAACCCGGGTACCAGAAGATTGCGAGTTGAATAGAAAC